GTAACAAAGCACGAAAATAGATGGCAGTCAATTCAGTCTACATGACATCTGTTTTGCAAAGATAGGTATATAATAGATATGTAGGTAACTGTATCGTGTACCTCATTAGGGACGATTCAAGATTCAATGTAAATGTGTAGGTATAATATCGTTAGCCGACACCCTGCAGATATGGCTTATGTGCCAATGTATATATTATGTTATAGTTTATTCTACATTCCATGCCTATTTTTTTCTCTCGACGAAGATATGTTGTAACGCGTCTGCGCTATACGTATAGCCCGATTTTGATACGTTTATACTCGTACGTATCAAAATCGGGCTATATGATTTTTTATTTCAATCGTTATGTGTAAGAGACTGGTTTTAGCTACAATTAATTTACTGGTATATACCTCATGTATTCTACGATGTACCCCTCTTTTCCCTAATGAGAATTCCGCTATATCTTATATATAAATTTCGTATCACAGTGTTAGTTGCCATATTTCTCCCACATTTTGATGAAATTTGATATGTATACTTGCTAGGTCTGAGGTAGGGTTGTTATCTATTTTTTATACCCCTAAGTCATAGGGGTGGCCTACCCTGAATTTTTTTTTTTGTATTATCAGTGGCACTTCGTGAGGAAATAGCCATTATTATTGCTAAAAGTTGCATATAGATGGCGTGATTGGTATCGATGGAATTCTTCATAGTTTTGCAAACGTTTTAAAAAACAAAACTGTGTTTTCAAAAATGTTTAATCAATTTTTAAAAAGTTATATATACATGTTAAAATGAAATAATGCGTTTAGAAAAGTAATTTTCATATATTTACTCATTTTGTTATTTTCCAGTACTTAATTACACTTTAATCAGTGTTTTCAAAATGCTTTCATAGATGGCATTGTTGTCATTTGTATCGGCTTAATTAAATATCTTTTTTATATTTTCCAATAATAAGCACTTAATATATTATTATTGTAAATTAAACATATAAAAAAAGTTTAAGTAAATTAAAAATAGCCGAACAAGCAAGTAATACTATTTCCAATAATACTTATGTATGAAGTGTTGTCATATTAAAAATAAATACATGTATTATCGATTTTTTTGAATAATCGATAACAGGATTTTATTACAGCGCATTATTCGATGATGCTTTTAATGTGTCGTTGTGAACAGTAAATTTTCATTATTTTGTATTATAGCAGTGTTCCGTTTCAAAGAACGGAATATAGTAGTACATTATTAGTGTCGTTGGTTATTTACATTTGTACTGAAAAATCGATTACATAATAATTTAAAATATCGAGTACGAATCGTAGCTGTCTTCGAATACTGGCAACTGGTAAGATTAAAATAGTATTTAAAAAAAGAGAGAAATCGACCCTAACTCGAATACCATAAAGTTGATTTTCCTTTCTCATTAATATCATAGCAGTTTGTTTTTAACTTGCGTATGACTCTGTGGTATGATGTTTAACGTGTATTGTTATTGTACGGTGTGTTATGCCCGAGCCCAGTACAAAGAAAATGCTGAGCCTGAATAATTATCGCTTAACATCGTTATATAAAAACAGTTTAGACAGTAAATTGAGTCCGCGTCGATAACTCATTGCACTTGCACCTACATAGTTTGGGATAAGTTTGTTAATATAATAACTTGTGAAACCACATTTTCGAAATAAACTATCTGAAATCAAGTGACTTTTGTGTTGTGTTTTAAAAAGGTTTTTTTTAAAAAACCAAACGGGGTCAGCCGCCTAACATTGGTGTCAGAAGTGGGATGCTGTGAAAAGATCTCAGGCAGAGATTCACAGCATCAATCGGACTGATACCCCGTAACGAATTTGGCCGACTGTTAGTCTCCACCCCTCGTATGTGAGCCAGCGCCCCGCAACCACGTCACCCGGGTCAACAGTAAGCCTCAGATCATAAAATCTGAGCCTGCACCCCAACGCTTCAGAAGTTCAGCATTACACCCTGTTTACCAAAACCTGGGACCACATCGATCACCGGCTGCCAGGTCCATTGCAACATCGTGTTCGTGTACCCAGAGCCATACAATACCACGTGTGACGGACTCCACGTGTCACCAGATCAGAAGATATGATAATCATCATAACCCTCCTGTAAGTGCTTTGTGACACTATGTACTATTTCTATATCAGTGAAGTGCCAGTTTAGTGATAATCACGTAATTCAAACCGAACATTACTATTATTAATACTAGGTTCTATATAACTGAAACATTTATCTAATATAACCTTATAAAATGGCCACTAAATCGGAGGCCAGTGAGAAAGCAGAGAGGGTGACACTGAGCGTATTAACGAAATTCATAAAGGCCTACAGCGGCGATCGTGAGTCCCTCCCTGCTTTCCTCACAAATTGTGAGAGTGCAATTTCTTTAGCTGCCCCTGAGCAACAGAATATATTATGCAAATATATAATATCACAATTAGAAAGCAAAGCCCAAACGGCTTGTAATCTTAAGACATTTAAAAACTGGTTAGAATTGAAAGATTTCTTAAGGGTCACGTTCGGCGAGAAAAAGCACTCCACACATTTACTAATCGAACTCCAGGGTTGTAAACAATTACCATCTGAGACTGTAACTCAGTACTCTCTCCGAATCGAAGCCTGTTTAACAAAAATTCAATCGGACATATACTATTCCTGTACTAACAACGACGAGTTACCTGGTAGAGTGGCTGCTATGGAAGAATTAACTTTAAATACATTTATGCTAGATCTTAATCCTAACTTTAGTTACATTGTGCGGTGTAGGAATCCCAAAACTCTAGGTGAGGCGATTTTACAAGCTACGGAAGAAGAGAAATTATATAATTTAACAAGAGCATCCAACAAAATGCCTAAATATTGCTCTCATTGTAAAAAATAAGGTCATGTAGTTTCAGAGTGCTATTTCAAAAATAGGGATACCAGGATATCCCCATCTTACAAAACTCATCACGTTAATAATTCAAATATCTATTATTTACCTAAACCTATTTCATGTGCATATTGTAAACATATAGGCCACAGCATTAATGAATGTCGCAAGAGACAGTACAATATGCAGCGTCGCCAGAATGAAGGCCAAACGCAACGCGATACGGATTCCCAGGCAGGTGTCAGGCACTATCCCGGAACCGCGCGTGGGAACGTGTCCGGTAACATAAATGTAGTTCATTATTGCGAAATCGATAACGAAAATATTTTAAGTGAAAATTTAAACTAAAATGGACTTCGGTTCCGTGCCGATCGAATTCCTATCATAGCAAGGGCACTACTAAATCTTATACTATATCTCAAAAACCACTGAATCTTACAAATACTAAATCTTTTACTACATCTCAAAAACCACTGAATCTTACAAATACTAAATCTTTTACTACATCTCAAAAACCACTGAATCTTACAAATACTAAATCTTTTACTACATCTCAAAAACCACTGAATCTTACAAATACTAAATCTTTTACTACATCTCAAAAACCACTGAATCTTACAAATACTAAAACTTTTACTACATCTCAAAAACCACTGAATCTTACAAATACTAAATCTTTTACTACACCTCAAAAACCACCGAATCTTATCAATACTAAATCTTTTACTAAAACCCAAAACTCACAGAATCTTATGAACGCTGAACCTTATACAAAATCCTATACCAAATCTCAAGAACCGCTGAATCTTACATACACTGAATCCCATACGAAATCTCATTACAAATCTGAAAAACCGCTGAATCCTACGAATTCTAAACTTTGTAAAAATTCATATACTACGCGTCGCTCTGAATCTTATTCTAATCCCCAAATATCATCGAATCGTACACGAACCTACGCTGAAATCTGTGCCAATTCACACTCATTAAAATTGTAATATAGGGTATATAAGATATAATTAGGTGGCGGGTACTTTTAAGGCGATATGTGAGATGGGAGCCAGTCCGGAATATACGCTTGACGGATAAGCTTGGTTTTATTACACCTCATACATACGGATACGAACATTACAGTGGACGACGAGGATTCTTAATTTTTATTATAATTTACAAGTAATAATAGTGTATAAAAAGTTGAGTGAAAAAAAAAAGAAAAAATAACTACAATGTCGATCGGAAGAGTAAGCGAGTTCGATATTAGAACTGGGGCGTGGTCGTCATATATAGAAAGACTTGAGATGTATTTTACGGCCAACAGTGTAAAAAACGATCTCAAACTACCAACATTAATAGCAGTCATAGGGGATGAAGCTTACGAACTCCTGGTGAATTTAGCTAGTCCAAGGAAACCGTCGGAATTGGAATACGAAGTTGCGGTCAACCTACTGCGCGATCACCTACAACCGGCACCGTCGGCATTAGCAGAGATTTCGATTCAGGCAGAGAAGACAAGCAGCAGATGAGAACATCGCAAGTTACGTGGCGGAATTGAAAAAGTTAACACGTCATTGCAAACTAGGGGATAACCTAAGTGAGAACCTTCGAGATCAGTTCGTGTGTGGGCTGAAGAGCGACATCATTCGACAGCGGCTTTTTGCAGAGGATGAAGAACTAAATTTCGCCCACGCGGTCAAAATTGCAACCTCTTTAGAGGCAGCGGAGCGGAACGCGGCGGCGGTGGATATCGCGGACGCGGCGAGCGGCGGGGAAACGATCGCGGGGACGGGGGGAATACACTCCCTAGTGGCCACGAACGAGCGACGGCAAGCGGCGGAGACACGGAGCGGGCGCGGGGCGCGCGGATACCGTATTCGTGGCACGGGCGCTGTCTGGAGTGGAGCGCGCGGCGCGCGCGCCACTATCACGCCTCGGGGAAGAAATGCGGCACGGGCAGACAGCGGAAAAAGGCGCGACTGCATTGGATGCGGTGCGGACGACCACAATTATGAAAACTGTCGCTTTCGAGAATACGTTTGCAGTAAGTGCCACCGCACCGGTCACTTGCGACGGGTGTGTCCGAGGCAGAGCACACAAAACCAGCGATATGGCTATGCGGCCTTGCACTATGGAGATACAGCGGAGGAGGGCTGGGAAACGACCGATTCGATGCAGGAGGACTTGCATCATTTATGTCTAAACGACTACAAGGCTGTGAGTATACCGATATCTATTGAAGATAAAATTGTAAATATGGAAATCGATACCGGTACCGCGGTGTCTTGTATTAGTGGGGAAACATATAGACAGTATTTTGATTATATTAAAATAAAACCGAGTAATATTGGATTAAATTTTTACGATGGCTCATCCGTTAAGCCTTTAGGTATAATAGAAGTAAATGTGTTTTATAATAATAAAAAAAAAATATTGGAATTATTTGTTATCGAAGGAGCTTCAATCTCATTATTAGGTAGGCAATGGCTGACAGAGTTGGGCATAGTGATACCTAAATTCACTAATTGTAATAAAATAAGTAACGAGCACCTTCGGTTAGATCATGAGTTTAAAAAACTGTTTAACAGATATGAGAAGCTGTTCAGTGGCGGACTGGGGCGGTACACGGGCGGCAAGGCTACGTTGAGGGTGCGCGATGGCGTGGCGCCGGTGTTCCACCGCGCGCGACCGTTGCCGTACGCGCTGCGCGAGCGGGTCGATGCAGAGCTCGACGCGATGCTGCGCGACGGTGTCATCGAGCCCGTCGACTGCTCCGACTGGGCCTCGCCATTGGTGCCGGTAAATAAATCGGATGGTTCTTTGAGAATATGCGCTGATTATAAAGCAACCGTAAATCCTGTGTTACTTGTAGATCGTTATCCTTTACCAAGAATAGAGGATTTAATTGTTCGATTAAGCGGATCCCAATTTTATTCAAAAATTGATTTATCGCAGGCGTATAACCAGATCGAGCTGGATGAGACCAAAATGTATACAGTTATAAACACACATCGCGGGTTATACCGGTATAATAGGTTAGTATATGGGTTAGCGTCGAGCGCAGGCATTTTTCAACGCATTATGTGTAGTTTACTGAGTGATATTCCCAACGTCGAGATATTCTTAGACGATGTTCTCATAGGTGGTAGGAATAGAGCTGAGCACCTACAGGCAGTGGAGGCAGTTTTTAGTAGATTAGATAAATATGGTTTTAAATTAAAAACGAGTAAATGTGTTTTTTTAGTGAAAGAAGTAAGTTATTTAGGATTTGTATTGAGCAAGGACGGAATAAAAACGGACCCGGATAAAATCCAGGCTATCACAAAAATACCACGCCCAGAGTGTGTGACCGAATTACGTTCCTTTTTAGGATTAATTAATTTTTACGCCAAATTTGTAAGGAATATGAGTTCTAGATTGGTACCTTTATACGATTTATTAAAAAAACATAAATCGTGGTATTGGTCGAGGGAATGTGAACGAGCCTTTATAGAAGTAAAGAATTTATTAGTTAGCGCTGAGGTATTAGCGCACTACGACCCGAAGCGACCGCTAGTAGTCACATGCGATGCGAGCGCGAGGGGCGTGGGGGCCGTACTCTCACAACCGAGGGAGGACGGACGCGGCGAGCGACCGATAGCTTACGCTTCGCGTACACTGAATGACGCGGAGAAGAATTACTCACAGATCCATAGGGAAGCCTTAGCTATTATATTTTCTGTTAATAAATTTCATCAATATTTGTACGGCCGACATTTCGTATTGCGTACCGACCATAAGCCTTTGGTATCGATTTTTGGGCCACATACGGGGATACCGACTATGGTAGCCAGCCGTATGCAACGGTGGGCGATAATTTTATCTGCCTACACATTTGATATAGAATATGTACGCACAGACGAGAACGGGGCGGACGGCTTGTCACGGTTGCCGATATCAGCTAGTAAACCAATGACTCGAATGACGCCCGAGCAAACATATTTACATTTTGTGCAGCAAGCTCTGCTATTAGATTACAATGAAATTAAAAATCAAACCTCTAGGGACCCCATACTATCAAAAATATTAAGTTATATACGAGACGGCTGGCCAATAGATTGCGCGATGACGAATTTGAAACCTTATTATAATCGTAAAAATGAATTATACGAGGAATTAGGTTGCGTTATGTGGGGGCATAGACTGGTGGTGCCAGATTCTTGTAAAGAGAAAATATTATTAATGATTCATGAACCCCACATGGGGATTGTCAAATCCAAGTCCTTAGCCCGCAGCTATGTGTGGTGGGCGGGCCTGGATGAAGCGGTGGAACGAATATGTAAACAGTGCGAGGTATGCGCTGCGAATGCAGACGCGCCACCGAGACAAGTACCTCGCATGTGGCCGTGGCCTAATAAGCCGTGGTCCAGACTGCACCTAGATTTCATGGGCCCTATGTTAGGGCAAATATATTTAGTGGTAGTAGATGCAACATCTAAATGGATGGAAATAATTAGGGTATCGAGCACGGCGGCAACGGGAGTAATAGATAAAGTTAGTGAACTATTTAGTAGGTTCGGACTGCCTAAACAAATTGTCACGGATAATGGACCACCCTTTACAAGCTCAGAATTTAAAAATTTTACTAGTAGTCAGGGGATTGAACATATTTTTACGGCTCCATACCACCCGGCCTCAAATGGATTAGCCGAAAACGCAGTTAAAACATTAAAAAAAGTAATTAAAAAGGCGGTTGTAGAGAAACAAAACATAAATAAAGCACTTTGGACGTATTTGTTATACTATAGAAATACCGAACATTCGACAACCGGGGAATGCCCAGCGGTTATACTATTAGGCCGTCGACTACGCACTAGATTAGATGTTATAAAACCAGATAGGGAGAGTAAAGTTTACAAAGCTCAGCAGAAACAAAGAGAATCATTTAAGGGGACAAGTAGAAAGATGCAGGTAGACGATGAGGTATGGTATAGGCAATTCATGAGGGGTGAGAAGTGGGCCCCGGGTCAAGTTATCGATTGTTTAGGTCCGAACAATTACAAAGTAAGGAACCGAGAAGGTGATGTGATTCATAGACATATGGATCAATTAAAAAAGAGATTCTCTAGAATTTCCCTATCATCTTACCCGTTGAAGGAAATAGATAAAAGAATCAGTGCAAATTCTAACTCAGAACCACCGATGACAGATCGGTCACCGGGCGGGATTCAGGCGGAGCAGGCGGTGGCGGAACGGTCAGATTTAACGCCGATAAACGTGGAAACGGTAGAAATGGATGCAACAGAAATTCCGAAGTCACCGGAGTATCTGGACGCCTGTCCAGATATGGTATTGCCTAGTACGAATGCACCACCGCCGCCCCGAGTCCGCCCAAAGAGATTATGTAGAATTAAGAATCTAGATAGTATTAAGTTTTAGTATAAGTAACCATGTCAAATTATAATTGTTAATTAAGTAGTATAAGTTAGAGTAAGTGTTAATTGGTGTGGAAGAGTGTAATATAGGGTATATAAGATATAATTAGGTGGCGGGTACTTTTAAGGCGATATGTGAGATGGGAGCCAGTCCGGAATATACGCTTGACGGATAAGCTTGGTTTTATTACACCTCAGACATACGGATACGAACATTACATACCAAATCCTCTGACTAATACATCTTACACAAAACCTTCTACCATATCTGAATCTTATTTAAATAAAGAAAGTACCAAATCTTGCACTGACCTCACCAATAGACTGAGCAAAACTCAAAATCTAATAAATAAAAAACCTGTTACTATTTCTGAGATTACAAGGCCACAAAACTTAACTAATATGGACTCGCTTAAACAAATTTGTAATACTAAATCTCACGAATATTCCGATGAAACTAAACCAATACCCATGTACGAAATAATTATTAATAAAATAACCTTGCCTCATACTTATTTACAATCAACTTACTCTGATAAACCTTTATGTTTCCTCATCGACACCGGTGCGAGTGTCAGTATTATCAAACAATCAAGCCTAAATAAGCAACCTGAACTTTCACGCGAAATTATAAAATTAAAAGGTATAAATTACACTGAATCCTATTGTAAAACTCTAGGCACATTTCAAATGGATTTTATTTTAACCGATTCCCTTAGTATTACCTACAAATTACATGTAATAAAAAATGATATAAACCTGGAATATGACGGTATTATCGGCAGTGATTTTCTAGGATATTACAAGGTCAATATTGATTACTATTCTAACTCTATGTGTTTACGAGAACAAATACTACCTATTAATTTCAAACAACCGAGCTATATTATACCGGCGCGAAGCGAAGCCGTGATTGAATGCACTGTATCAAATGACTCATCACAGTTACCAAATCTACGTGAAGCTCTCGTACTAGACCATACTATTTCGGAAGGTGTCTATGTTTCTAATTGTATAGTAACACTTAAACTTAACAATCGCGTAAATGTCTCCATTTTAAATACCACTTAATCTGACATCCAAATAAAAAACTACTCTGTTTCCCTTACTCCATTAGACGAAACTCTATCTAAACCTCTAGAATCATCTACAAATATCTACAACATACAGACATCTGACATCACCTACTCTGATAGGATAGATAAAGTACTAAGTCAGATTAGACACACTCATTTAAATTCCGAAGAAAAAGATATTTTACTCGATTGCTGCGCACAATACGCAGACATATTTTACCTCGATGGAGATAAGCTAACTGCAACTAATGCCTTAAAACATTCTATTAATACTGGGAATGCTCCCCCTATTCATGTTAAAGCTTACCGCTTCCCCGAATGCCACAAGGACGAGGTAGAAACTCAAATAAAAAAAATGTTAGAACAAAATATCATTAAACCATCGGTTTCCCCTTGGAATGCCCCTGTCTGGGTTGTCCCAAAAAAGATAGATGCCTCTGGAAAACGTAAATGGCGAATTGTAATCGATCACAGACGTCTAAATGACGTCACTGTCAATGAAATATATCCAATTCCTCTTATAACTGACATATTAGATCAACTTGGTCATTCTAAATAATTTTACAACGCTAGATCTCGCGAGTGGATTTCATCAGATATTTTTAAATCCTGAAGATGCCGAAAAAACAGGTTTCACAGTAACCACTAACAAAACGTCCGGACATTTTGAATTTAACCGAATGCCCTTCGGGTTGAAAAACGCACCCAGTACCTTCCAACGGCTTATGAATACCGTCCTTTCTGGCCTTCAAGGTCTACACTGTTATATCTATTTAGACGACTGTATCTTATATAGTTTTGACCTCGAGTCACATATACAAAAATTAAAGTTAGTCTTCGACAGATTCCGTCAATTTAATTTGAAATTACAGCCCGATAAATGCGAGTTTTTACGCCGCGAAGTTTCATATTTGGGTCATATCATCACCGATAAAGGTGTCTCTCCGAATCCCGATAAAGTCAAGGCTGTCACTACTTATCCAACCCCTAAAAATCCTAAGGAGATTAAATCATTCCTTGGCCTAGTCGGTTATTATCGACGTTTTATAGAAAATTTCTCGAAAATCACTAAACCTCTTACTCTATTATTGAAAAAAGATGTCGAATTTCACTGGACTACAGAACAAGAACAAGCTTTCAATCTATTAAAAGAAAAACTCACTTCCGCACCCTTGCTCCAGTATCCTAATTTTAATGAGCCATTTATATTGACGACTGATTCATCCAACTATACCGTAGGAGCGGTTCTATCCCAAGGGATCGTAGGTCAGGAAAAACCCATTGCTTACGCTTCCCGTACTTTAAACAAAGCGGAAGGAAACTACTCCACCACGGAGAAAGAACTTCTTGCTGCCATTATATTCGGTGTGAAGACATTCCGCCCCTATCTATATGGACATAAGTTCAAGGTCATTACAGACCATCGACCACTAGTGTGGTTATTTAATGTTAAAGACCCTGGCAGTAGACTAATTCGCTGGCGTCTCAAATTAGAAGAATACGATTACGAAATTATATATAAACAGGGCCGCCTAAATTCCAATGCCGATGCACTGTCTCGAATTCCTATGCACGCGCTGAATTCTGCAAATAAATTACACAAAGATACTTACGAAAAATATTTTAAACTACAATTTACAAATTCTACTTCCAATAATACTGAAATCGAAGAACGCTCCGAAAGTCTACATTCTTCTAAACTAAATTTAATTGCATGTCCCACATCTTTAGATTTTGATAATTCGATGCCATACTGTCGACAAATATTATCTCAAATAGAGAACAGCGATGACGTGTTAGCAGCTGAACGCGAAGTTCACACGGTGCACTCGATTAAATATAATAATAAAACGTACTATTTCTTATATACAAAAGTTCATCATTATCAGGAAACTCCTTATCGCATTATTTATAATTTATTAATGAAACTTAGAGACGAAATTTTATCCGAAAATATCGGTGCCACTGAACTTGCTATATCAGATTTCACTGAACCTTTTTCTAAACTATCTTATACTAAAATCTATAATATAATTGCATTCGTGTTTCATAATACCAACTTAAAAATACATATATATAAAAACACGCTCATATACCCATCTCCGCCCGAAATCTCAAAAATCCTCCAAGAGAATCATGGTACTCCTATTGCTGGGCACCCCGGCATTAAAAGAATGCTAAATCGTATAAAAAACAAATATTACTGGAAATCAATGCGATCTGACATAGAACAATTTGTAAAATCTTGCCAAGTCTGTCAAATAAATAAGCCTTTGAGATGCAGTAATAAGGTTCCAATGGAAATAACATCCACTAGTACCAAACCCTTCGAGAGACTCGCCCTCGATATAGTAGGAACTCTACCCGAATCCGCTATCCAAAAATTTAAATACATACTAACTTTACAAGACGACTTAACTAAATTCTCTAGTGCTTATCCCATGATTACCTCCACTACAGAAGAAATTGCTGGTAACCTTGTACATGTGATATAGTGATGCAAATCAGCACGTTCGATAGTAGATTGTGCCAGTGTACGTTTTGTATAACGACACGTAGGTCACGCAGTACCTCATATATATAGTTTATGTAATTAGTCTAAGCTAGAGTAATTCAAGATGTAACAGTTAATATACAAGTTACACCCTACTGTGTGTGTTTACTCTCACCACCGCTCCTGTCATCACATGGCGACCGTGACAAAGAAGCTGCATAAATGGATCAAGATCAGACTATACTCTGAAGATCTTCGGGCAGCAAAGAGGTATAAATTATTTATCCTCAATATATTGTACGGTGGAAATTAATGTTCCTAGGCCATCGGTGTCCAATATCCTCAAATTGAGGTTCACCGCATACCTGTGCCTAAAGTTAATTGAAGCATCCATAGATGGAAGTATAAAAATAGAATAAAAGGGTGCTAGCGGTCTACAAATGTTGAGTGATTATCAAATGTGCCGTGATTAGTGTCATTTCTGAAGACATTTTTATACGTGTTTGGTGCAGTGAAAATATAATTAAGGACATATTAAGTGGTATATAATATTTGATTGTGTATTTAAATTTAAGTCACTTATTTTGAACAGGAAGTAGGCAAACTATGACAGGGCACTTACACAATTTTTGAAAGAATTTTATACTAGTCTGTATATTTTAAAAATGACCGCATTTGATTTAAAAGCAGCTTTATTGCTATTACCTATAGTGAATCGGGATGAGAAAGTTATAAAAAGCCTTTTAGACGGCATTGAATTTTACAAAACCATCCTCAGGCCTGATGACCATCCCTTACTAATAAATTTTATATTAAAGACGAGACTTTCTAGTTGTGCCAAATTAAAATTAAAATCAAACTACGATAATATTAATAATTTAACCGAGGATATAAGAAATATTCTATTACCAAGTAAATCGTATACATTCATTTTAACGCAACTACAAAAATGTAGGCAGGGTAATAGAACAATTTTAGAGTTTGGGGATGAAATTGAAAGGTTGTTTGTTGAATTAACAATTGCCCAAGCGGGGGTTTGAACACCGCGTATGATATTCTATTGCCCATAAATGAGAATATTGCAATTAGGCAATTTGCATACGGGCTAAACGATAATAGGTTGACAATGTATATAATATGTCGAAAAATATCAAATTTACAAGAAGCTGTCAAAACAGCAATAGAAGAGGAGGAATTCATTCCTAAGAACTTCCAAACGTGTTTAATAAATAAAATAAATTATGACGCAAGAGAATTTGATCGCAGAACAAATCAATGTCAAGTGAAGCGTAATAATACTAAGGCGCGTAGTCAGCAAAATACAATAATGCATAGTAAAGAAGGTCGCGCAGTTTGTTATAGTAAGCATATGAATTACGTCAAAGCGTCAGCTGATAGTAGGAATAGCGATAGAAAGACATCATTAGATTTTGTTCATGGAAATAAGAATACCGAAATTTTAGCTTTTAACACAAATAATGTAGTTAAATTTAATTGTTTTAATAATGATATATTTTTGATAGCAGACTCAGGAGCGTCAATGTCAGTTTTAAAGTATGATTGGTTAAAAAATTTGCCTTCAATTAAGATTCATAAAGATAACGCT